CTACAAGAGTGACCCACAAGAGTGTCCTACAAGAGTGTCCTACAAGAATGTCCCAGAAGAGTGTCCCACAAGAGTGTCCTACAAGAGTGTCCTACAAGAGTGTCTGAGAAGAGTGTCCCACAAGAGTGTCCTACAAGAGTGTCCCACAAGAGTGGCCCACAAGAGCGTCCTACAAGAGTGTCCTACAAGAATGTCCCTTAAGAGTGTCCCACAAGAGTGTCCTACAAGAGTGTCCTACAAGAGTGTCTGAGAAGAGTGTCCCACAAGAGTGTCCTACAAGAGTGTCCCACAAGAGTGACCCACAAGAGTGTCCTACAAGAGTGTCCTACAAGAATGTCCCTTAAGAGTGTCCCACAAGAGTGTCCCACAAGAGTGTCCTACAAGAGTGTCGTGTAAGAGTGTCCCACAAGAGTGTCCTGCAAGTGACCCACAAGAGTGTTCTACAAGAGTGTCCGACAAGAGTGTCCCACAACAGTGTCCTATAAGAGTGTCCCACAAGATTTTCCTACAAGAGTGACCCACAAGAGTGTCCTACAAGAGCGTCCCACAAGAGCGTCCTGCAAGTGACCCACAAGAGTGTTCGACAAGAGTGTCCGACAGAGTGTCCTGCAAGTGACCCACAAGAGTGTTCTTCCCGAATGCGTAGCGAAGGGTTCCCGTTTATAGTTGGGGGTCTGGGGGTTGGAGCTGTGTTTGCATGGCTTGCGTCGTGTCGTCGTTTGTCGTCGTCTCTCGTCGTTTGTCGTCGTCCTGTCGTCGTCGTCGCGTCTCAAATTTGCTGCCAGTGGGGGAAGCTTTTGCAAGTGACTTTTCATGGATGTGTCACGTGTCAGTTTGCGCCGCAATTCCATTGTGATTTGCATGACACCGACATGTCGCGCAAGAAACGTGATGCATTTCGCTGCACAGGCGCAGCGTTTTGTGAGATCCGCAGATTACTGCGCAGTTCCATTGGGATTAGCGTTTGGAGAGTCGTGTTTTTGGGGTGTTGGATGTGGCCGTGCCATTGGGATTTGCGTTTCAGGGTGTGGCATCGAAGCTCGGTTTTCGTGACAAGTCTCAGCTGAAGTGGCGATTTTGGTGGATGGGAGTGTGCTCTGAACGGGTCGAAATCATTCCAAACGTGTGGTGTGGTGCAAATTTTGTTGAAGCTCACATGCGATGATATTGTCACTTTTCGTGGCAGGCGCAGGACTTCGTGCGGTTTTCGAAGCGTGGAAGTGCGATTCTCGTGGCAGGCGCAGGGAATCGTGAGGTTGCGAGGTATGAGGGAGGTGACATTTCGTGGCAGGCGCAGTACTTTGTGCGCGTTAGACGTGTGGATGGGGAAAGATTCGTGGCAGGCGCAGGGAATCGTGAGGTTGTGAGTTGTGGTAGAGGTGAATGTCGCTGTCACATTGGGATTGGCGTGTGAGCGGATGTTGTTTGGAGGGGCTGGAATCGCGAAACTGCTTGGCAGGGCTGCGTGATGTGTGTGCTCCGATGGGTGTTTCCGCTTGACTTTTGGAGGAAGTCTCGTACGAAACGCTCGTTTTGCAGACTTTGACGTGTGAGTTTGTGAGGAAGTCTCGTACGAAACGCTCCTTTTGGAGACTTGACGCGCAACCCTCTGCGGAGATCGTGCGTGTCGAGTGTGCGAAATGCAGGCCAGAGTGCGATTTGTCCCATGCGCGCGCAACCCTCTGCGGAGATCGTGCGTGTCGAGTGCGCGAAATGCAGGCGAGAGCGCGATTTGTCCCATGCGCGCGCAACCCTCTGCGGAGATTGTGCGTGTCGAGTGCGCGAAACGCAGGCGAGAGTACGATTTGTCCGGTGCCCGCGCAACCCTCTGCGGAGATCGTGCGTGTCGAGCGCGCGAAATGCAGGCGAGCACTGGCGACTTTGTAGTACAACTTTAGTACGCGGGGTATCTGGGGAGCTGGAAGATGAGAACTGGTGAGAGAACTGGCGACTTTGTAGTACAACTTTAAATACGCGGAGCAATCTGTGGAGCTGGAAGCTGAGAACTGGCGACTTTGTAGTACAACTTTAGTACGCGGAGCAATCTGTGGAGCTGGAAGCTGAGAACTGGCGACCTTGTAGTACAAATGTAGTACGCGGAGTATCTGGGGAGCTGGAAGAGAGTCCCACAAGAGTGTCCCGCAACAGTGTCTCACAAGAGTGTCCCTTAAGAGTGTCCTACAGCAGTATCCCACAAGAGTGTCCTACAAGAGTGTCCCACAAGAGTGTCCCACAAGAGTGTCCCACAAGAGTGTCCTACAAGACTGTCCCACAAGAGTATCCTACAAGAGTGTCCTACAAGAGTGTCCCACAAGAGTGTCCCACAGAGTGTCCCACAAGAGTGTCCCGCAAGAGTGTCCCACAAGAGTTTCCTACAAGAGTGTCACGCAAGAGTGTCACACAAGAGTGTCCCACAAGAGTGTCCCACAAGAGTGTCCTACAAGAGTGCCCTACAAGAGTGTCCCACAAGAGTGTCCCACAAGAGTGTCCCACAAGAGTGTCCCACAAGAGTGTCCTACAAGACTGTCCCACAAGAGTGTCCCACAAGAGTGTCCCACAAGAGTGTCCCACAAGAGTGTCCTACAAGAGTGTCCCACAAGAGTGTTCCACAAGAGTGTCCTACAAGAGTGTCCCACAAGAGTGTCCTACAAGAGTGTCCCACAAGAGTTTCCTACAAGAGTGACCCACAAGAGTGTCCTACAAGAGTGTCCTACAAGAGTGTCCTACAAGAGTGTCCTACAAGAGTGTCCCACAAAGTGTGTGCCACAAGAGTGTCTTATAAGAGTGTCCCACAAGAGTGTCCCACAAGAGTTTCCGACAAGAGTGTCCTACAAGAGTGTCCTACAAGAGTGTCCCACAAGAGTGTCCTACAAGAGTGTCCTACAAGAGTGTCATTTGGACATATTAGTTTTTCGAACGTGTTTGCATTCGGGTTCGTGGGTTCCATCTTGTTTTTCTGGCTCAGTTGTTGTTGTTGCTACATGGATTTGGATGAAGTTTGAATGCAAATGTATGATACGATGTCAGTTTTCCGTCAAATCCTTGATGGTCCTGTGATTGGAGCGTCGGCCCCACCGAGTGACGAACGCATAGTGTGCCGGTGTGCCGTTTCGTCTGACTGTCTACCAAGATTTGGTTCATTGCACGGTGGACACGCGGTGGACATCCTGTTCCCCCTGGATCGTCATGCTGAAGAGCCCCGCACTGCGGGGAAACACGGCCCGTCCATTTGTCTTCGATCGGAAGGTCGCCCACCTCGCCGATCTTCTTCATCTCGTTGGCCATCTCTTCATTGGTCCATCCCGAATTCTTCGACAAAGGGTTGGCAAAGCGGCCATCGAACTGGCCTGGCGAGCTCGCAACATGTCGGAACCATGATGATACAGGAGTGCAAAGGGAGTAGGAGGTGGTACAAAGGAAGTAGGCTGGATGTTGAGAGTTTAGGTTGGTTTGGAGAAGCCTTCCGGAAGTCATTAACACTATGGTGAAAGAAACGCAAACATGTCCACCGCCCGTCTTGGAATTCATGTGGCGAGTCCTTCCTCGTGTCAGTCTCTACGGTTGACAGCTTCAAGCATCGCCGCCATTTATACACACTCCCACATCGTTTTGTGCCACTGGCGCCTTGTTCAAAACGAACATGCTCGATGAAAGCCTCAAAGCGGGACCGGGCGCCAAAAAATGCAAAAAGAGCTGCCTGGATTAGGATTGGACTTGCTGGTGCCCCGTTCAAGCTTAATCTGATGCAAGAATTCCTGCCTGACAATCCAAAGGAACCTATCGGAACCCTCATTCTATCTCATTCTCCGGATGGAGGATGATCCTGGTGGGGCCACACACTTTGACAGTAATTGCCCTCAGTTTGACGGGGAGATTGCGCCAAGAAACTTCCTGATTCTTCTTCCGCGCCGCGTCCTTCCGGCACTTGATGATGGTTTCTTGTGCCCGAGTGCTGCGAATAAAAGCCTCCTTGGGCTTGGACTCTTCGTGCTGCGCCAGCACTGTTTCTGCACACGTCGCCTTCCTCGTTGCACTGGGGCTAGACGTGAGGAACATGAACGAGTTGCCTTCATGGAATGAAGACGAATGAAGCATGACTTGATTCTCTCCAGTGTCTCCGAATCTACCCCTCCTGCAAGGAAGAAGCTCACTTTTCTCATGTGTCGTTGCCTCTCACCGACCCACACACCAATCTTCAGTACCACCCACTGCAGAAGCACCTCCGGGCCTCAGGACCCCTTCTCGTGGCCACAGAGGCTGACACTGGAACTTGTTCTCACGCATAAACCAATTTGGAAAATATACAATTGTCCCCAAGATCCTCCCCTTCCTGTTGTCCCACAGCTTCCCACAGGTACCCGTGCACTTAAGCACCACCGTCCATACCCTGCCCTTATCCAATACACTGCTCCTGCTGTTTTGCGGCGGGTCGGCAGCCAAGCGTCATTGGCCGATCTCTTCCCTCTGCGGTGCGGGGCCGCAAATCAGCCGTGTCCCGGTAGCCTTGGGGCGGTGCACTGCGTCTCCAAGCGGTGTGGAGATCCCAAGGCAAGACCAGTCTTGGCCAAACATTGGAGGCACCATCAAAGTGCCAACTTGCTCAAGAGAAACAACTTGCAAGACAAGTTTGTTGCGCTGACGTGCTGGCTTCAGGCAAATGCAAATGTTAATTTCTTTTCAGACCCCAGAGCCATGACAACTGTACAGCTTTTCCAAGGAACGATCTGGCGGATGCTGACTCTTGACCCATGACCTGGGAGGCATCAAGATGGGATCCACCATACCTCAGTTCGCTTTGCAAATATGTCTCACGAGCGAGGTCAAGTCCTCGCTCCTGGTGAAGTCAAACACAAAGTGATTATTGTAATTTGATTGATCAAACCTAAATAGCTCATAACAGCTCAACACTCAGCTCAACCTATCAGGTTGGACCATAATCACCTAAATCTATCTGGACTCAATTTTGACACCCTGGGAGTCAGGACTAGTCTTTTGGGAAAAGATATTTCAGGAACTTCCTTTGGTTTGCTGGGCAAACAAAAGGGGCAGTATAGCTATAGCTCTTGAACTTCTATAGGGGCCTCTAGGGAAGAACTGACTCATGCATATATAAACATATAGTCATATAGCTGATAGCTGTATACAGTATTTTTTTCCTTATCGTTAAGTTGCACGTATACAGGGACTACTACGGTGACTGTATCACCATTGATGAGTTCACAAAACCTCTGCTCAAGGAACACGTCTTAGCCGAGGCTTTTCTTGGGCAAATGTGGTTTGGCTGGGAAAACCCACTCAGGAAAACAAGCTGTTGTAGAATCAAGGGTTTTAACACAATGGAGTGAACTCCCTATGTCTGTGCTGAGGGTTTAGTAATGGCCTGTCTTGGCATTGGCTCACGAGGCCTTCTTCTGACTATCTCCTTGACTTGTTCGCTGCTGTGGGCATTCCTGCCTGTCTGCTGGAGTGGGAGCTGAGAAAGGAATCCATCAGGGAGAAGCCTCCAGAAAATGCCTAGCGCCTCATAGACTGATCGACGCCTCGCGATCCTGGGGTGTTTGGGCCTCGATCCCTCCGACATGCACTCACTCAATTGCACTTGAAGCACTCAAGCGCCACGCTACAGTGCAAACCAAGTAGACAGCACAAGGACAAATGAAGCATGGGATGAGCACTCCAAACAAGAAGGCCCGCCATATCGTCAGTAGCTTCACATGCATGAGATAGAAAGGTGACTCACTCCTGGGAAAACCTAAAGAACAAATACAATCGGTTTCACTAGACTCTCAAGAATCAACCATTCACAAAGTCCTTGTATCATCTTGTATCCAAGCTTCTTGTGCCATAGGGCCCTTGCTTGCACTCTGGCCCAGGAAAGTAAACGCCACAAAACTCTTGCCTGAGACAATGGATTGTGCCAGCACGTTGCTTGGATTGCCAGTAAGTGCACCCGAAGAGTTTTCTGCTCCTTGTTTGCATAACCCATCATGATTCATGACACATGACCCCAAAGATTTGCCCTGTTCGACTGCTCAGTTGCAAGTGACTCCCTCACCTCCCTCACCCCGGCCTATATGCTGGTCGACTTGCTTCGCCACCTCTGTTTCTCACTTGCTGCTGCTGGGACCGTGGCCTCACGGTGATACTGCCTCAAACATGCACGCATAGGCATTCCATTTACGAGCATGTGTTTTCAGCCGGACCTATGAACATATTATGTAGATCATGCAGGCCACAAGCTTTGACCTACAAATGAACCATCAATTTTGTCAAAGCAGGCGCTGCACCATTCCAACTTGCAACTGCAAGCCTAATACAACAGGATGTCACACCTTGACACTTCAAAACGTTCTGCGGCAAGCAAGTTTCACTAGCCACGTCCCATGATTGATAGGGAAAGTCATTATCATTATGGGTGCACAGGTTTAAGTGGCTATATAATTTTGTATAATTTTGTTCTATATACAGTAACTACATTGTGCATGCATGTGTGTGGGCATGTGTGCACAGGGCATAGCTCCCTGACAACTCTTCGCCAACATCGCAAGTCAACCACTGTTCAGCCAATCCTAATATTCACCACCCGATGCTCTCTATATTGCATAGCGTCAAATAGGTCACTCCTCTGACAGTCCAAGTGGCCATAATCATAGAGATGTAGAGGTGAGGGTGGGCGGTAGGCATGCCTCACACCAATGCTTTGCAAGCACTGTAGCATAGCGGGACGTCTCATCTACTATGCGGAATTCAAGGCTACACCATCCGGATCAGTTTGCTACACCTTTTTGAGTGCTGAAAGCCTCACGTCAAGATCTTTCTCCGGAACAAACTGCCCCAAACTCCTGCCAAGATGCAAGACCTCCGACCTGTCCAAATATGCCCGCGAAGGCAATGTGGATTCACTTCGACTATTTCCTGGAGCTCGGATGTTGCTTTTTCGTGCCCTGTAATGGTGTTGACTCTCTCTGTGGGAAGGGAAACTTTCATGAACCCTGGAGGGATAGGACTTATGGTACAAGTAGGGCTCTCGGACAATGACATCACAACAATACCATCAAAATCAACCAAGAGGGTTGAGTGGCCAAGTGCGACACCATCTTGAGTGGCGGGTCGCTCGTGGGCATTGTCAGCTCAAAGAAGGACAGTTCGTCACATTCATCGAGATGGGTTCTGCAGTACCGGCGGTAAGGTCCTCCATTCCCTTCTCCATTCAGGCGAAAACCTTATGCAGGTCTATAACAAAATAACAAATATCCTCCCTTCCACCGGCACATTCACCAATTCTGTGTCCGTGTGAGGACCTTGCCACACCCCGACATGGACGAAAGCAAACAAGCTGGCTGAGCAAAGGAGCAGGGGTTGAGTAGGATGTCCCCGGATGCCTGCTTCGAGGGCAATGATGGAGAATTTGTTTCACATTTTGGTTCCATCAAACAGTTTTATTTTTTGTCTGGCAATGATGGTGATGTTTGTTCACATCTTTTTCAAATCCAACTCTTTCTGATCCCATCTGAGCTTCTGAGGAGATTGGTGGTCCCGCTCTTGATGCTGCTTGACTCGCTGTGGTTGTCTGCCAGGGTCGCTGCAAGCTGTCCTCAGTGGAACGGGCAACACCAATCACACAATGATGGAAGACCCTCCTGCACCACCATGAGGTACAATATGGGAGGACCACAGTAGTGGGGATGGTTCCAGCTCCAGCCCTTGTCTATTTCTTTCCATCCACTCCATCCACTGTTCAGGCACTCACCCATTCTTCCAGCAATTCCAGGTCCGGGACGCGTTCCAGCTGCGCTGCCCGCGCGCGGGACCAGCCCTCGCTGAGGCGGATGAGCTCGGCCTCCTCTTCGACCTCTTCCCGTGCAGCCTTCTCCTTCAGGGAAAAGCTTGGATTGACAAAAGGATTATATTCCACTGGGGGCTGGCGGCCAAGATTATGTTCGAAGACCAACATGTTCTAGTAAGTATTATATAGTCCATGAATGACTATGCTGCATCTTCTTAGATTCATTTTGGTTACTAGGGAACAGCCCTCGTGCATCATCATGGAAGAGCTAAAAAATCTAAAAAAGCTTTCCATCTCTTGGAGAGGTACCACGAGAGAAGGAGCTAGCTATGGGGGTTGGACCCTGCGTCCACTAGGCAAAACGTTGATTCGACAGCGGAGCTGTATACGACACTCGGACACTCAAAATGATTTGGCTCATCCAATTTCAGGCTGGAGACCATCGCTATTAGCAAATTAGATTGGCTCTCTTCCAATGGCTTTCACTCTGACACTCAAATTTATTGGGTTCTTCTGCCCCCCAGGTGGAACAAACAATGAAAGCACCTCAGTCAGGTTTGGGAGGCTCGTCGTCGAATTCGCGTTTCGGAAACCAAACGATCGCACCAGCTGCTCAAATCAACTAGCAATCAGACTCACAAGCTAGTGTCCAAAGCAATCAGCCAGATTGGAAATCTGCGTCGAGTCTGCTTCCCTCTTTCTGGGCATCTTTTTGATCAACCTTCCCATTTCCCGAACACATCCTTAGTGCATGAGGTTTGGGGCCCTCAATTCGAAAACTACATGCAACGTCCAAAATTAGGATGAACAAAGGGACATAGAGTGGGTGGTGGTGGATCATGGATTCCGCAGAGCAGTCGGGGAAACACAGCTGAATTTCAATTGATCAAACGCCCAAGCCTGGGCTTGAATGGAGGATGCATGGGTGGTGGCAACTTCCAACCACTGACCATTTTGGGCATGTTTCGAGTGCCAAGCACAACCCCAGAGAATTTGAGAAACTTTCTGACATAAAAGTTGAGTATATTATAGTTATTATATACAATCTTCTTTCAGCTTTCTGCCCAACTGGCAACACCTCACCATGACTCAACTCTATACAGACTCACCAAAGTAACATATCAGGACGGCCTGCCAAACTCCTGCCCAGTGGCCCCGTGGCCCTCCTTGAGAACACGCGCATGTTCTTCGAATGTGCTGATCTGGTCATGGGTGCACTTCACCAGTTTATGCTTTACTTCTTCTTTCAACCTCGATGAAGTCTGGGCGCAGCGCGCGCAGTCCATTTTGTGCACAGAAAAGGAAGGTGGCATCATCCGCTCGTGGATCTAGCGTCATACACAGTACTTGTAGTATGGATATGCAACAGGCCGCCCACTGAAGCCAAAGCCTGTGGATTTCCACAACATACCTAGCGCCTGTTCTTGGCCCACCTAGGCAGCCACCTTTGCCAACCATTGTGATTCAATCAATCACCCTCCACGGTTTAGTCTCTGCGCTAAGAATGCCCCATGCCGCGACGAACTTCCCATGACTCCCATGACCCATCCAGGACTGCCCTGGTTCGGCCGCAAAAAGACTCGAACAAAATCCATGGCCGGCCGGGTGGAGAGGGGAAGCTTGCAGAATTTCCGTTTCCCCTCTGAGGACTCCACCGCTTGGTGATAATCTCAGCATTGCGAGCGCGTTGCCGAACACTGGAGACGGTCTGCCACACCTGCATCCTCGGAGGTCACGAGCATGTGGAGCCCACTGCGCGAAAATGATTCCAAGATCTGTGGATCCACAGGCCAAGCACCTCTTCAAGGTTTCGCTTGACTGCTTTTCTGGGTGAAACCCCTCTTGTCGTAAGCACCAAGGATTGCTAAGGAGTTCTCTGAACACTGAGTGCTTGTGCATGCTGGTCTGGAATCTGTTGCCATGGTGTGGATTCCGTTGGCTTGTTGTTGATCGTGTCCATTGGCTTATGCTTTGGGCTCTTCTCAAGTGCAGGCTCCGGCCTGTTACCGTCTGAGCCTGTCAACTACGCGAGCATAGCGAAAGAGTAAAGAACAATAACAACTGGCACTCTGTTCGTGATCCATTAGCCCGTGCCAAGATATGGCATGCAACTACCCCCAAGTCTTTCTGAGCATGTATTGCTGTCGGATTCTCTTACGCCGACTGCTGAGACTTTTGGGCGCAGGTGCGAAATCCACTGCGGAAGGAACATGGTCAATCTGGCTTTCCGAAGGCAAAAAGCCAAACGACCGCATGATGATGAGCGTCTCAAACCAGGCGGGGTGTTCTAAAACCCACGCAACAAGAATCAACTTCTGGCATGGAGGTACCCACACAAGATCTTCGCCCATCGGGATATCAAGCTCTCCCCCAAAACAACAACTGCAAAAACACAGGTTACGGAATGAAGGCAACCAGTCAACTTAACATAACTTAACCATACTTAACCAACATCTTCAGAACTGGGTTTCTGATAGGGGAAGTCTGTGAAAAAGGGGCTGTGGGCATGTGCTTTTACACAGCTTTCTTTGATGCCACTGGCTTGTTTGGAAGAGAGCTTATCTTGAGTGCGCCCCTCCCAATGCACATCACGCCAAGAGTGTTGCCAACACTGCTAGGGGCAAATGGCTACAGGAAAGATGACTCAAGATCAAAAATCCATCATTCAAAACATTTCTGAGAACTTCTGGCCGCGTGTATAGCAGCCACGCCAAAATCAGAATCGTCTGCGCTAGACTGGCATGAGTGTCTCACCTGTCAGCGTTCGCCACCCTAGCGTTCATCCTGAGGCACTTCCTGCCGTGATCGGTGAATGTCAGATATCTCCCAAGCAAAGGGTGACTGACAATCCTACCCTGAAAACTCTACAGAATGTTGGACACTCACTAGGCATAGCGCGAAATTAACTCTACTCAATACAGGTCGTCCCTTGTTACAACTAGTGACTAGTGATTTTATAAGAATTATTGTTGATCCAACAGCACGTCAAACAGAGTTGGTTTGTGTTCATCTCACAAGAACTCCTGGCTTCCCCCACCCACCGAGCGAAGAACAAGACAGCAACAGGAATAACACATACACACACAGTGCTGTGAGATCGGGAGTTGTCCTGCGATAAATGGCTGGAAGCGATGAGAAAGCAAAGGCCACTGAGACAGTAGCAAACCTGAATGTCTGCGCTTCCCGGAAACCTGTGTGGACAGCAGCTCAAAAGTAGCATGGCAGTAGTTCTATAAAGTCAGTATATAATGGTACAGGTCTCCCAACAAAGCCTCCAGCATGGCAAACATTGTCAGTTTGGTTGGTCTTAATTTCACGCTGATCCACTCGCCTCGAAACACTGGTGAACCTCACCAACTCTCAAACCAGTCCAAGCAAGATTCACCGAAATTCGGGTCACCAAGGTCTGGACCGACGTTATTTGTGGGGTATGGCGGCACATCTGGACCGCCACGTTCTGGGTCATGGCTTAGTAGCAAGCGACTGAGCCTGCTACGAATACCGGCAGTAAAGCCCGGCGTTGGCAAGAGGACAAGTGAGAGAAGGAAAACACAATCTCCGACTGTCTTGCAAGATGCGTGTACTTGCTGCATTTATTGATTTCAGGACAAGACAAACCAGGTTTTCAATCTAACCGTTCAACCTGAAGGCATCCAACCCACCCTTCTTCCACCACTGCCTCAACCTCTAAAGAGAAAGGTGTGCGGACCAATCTTAACTGACCGCTGACCATCTTCATCCAACTGACATAAGGCTCCCCCTTTCTAACTGCCCAACAGAGTCGATCGGAAGGACCGAACGGATCGTTGGGGCCCAGCTGCTGACACGCTGAGCTGTAACCCCTGGGTTAAATCCTCGGGCGCCAAAAGGCCCAAGCCCACAGGAAGTGCTTGGCCCAGCCTCGGACTTGAGTGATTTGCCACGACGATCAGGATCTGCTACTGCATGCCACTCCATATTATGTGCACTTTTTTGAAACACAAAAAATATACAGTATATATACATACACTGTATGTATATACTGTATGTGCTTTTGACAGGTGCAGGTGGGTTGCATTGAAAAGGCCCACTCCAAAAATGCTGCACAAATACACCTCCGAAGTTGTCCCAAGTCTTGGGTTGCACCCCTCTGGACGACGATCCTGACATCTGCCTACCTACCATGGTCTACCTGCCTGTGGCGAGCTATGATTCTTTGGAGGCCACGTGGCGCAGTCAAGGACGAGAAAACGCCCTGCACGTGGCGCACGCGGCGTGTGGGCAAGTCATATCAAGTCAAGTCAGTCTGGTGAAGCAATGACGTGAGACTTTTCCTTGGCACACGCCCAGCAATAACTGGAATTGAACAGAACTGGGCGAAAGTCTTGAAGAGTGGGCCACACCATCCGCTGCGATGTTGGATAGAAGAAATTCCCCAGCTCAGGGTTGATAGGTGATAAACTATGATAGATAACACATAAAAACGTCGAAACTCCTTGGACCCTCCATGCCACACCTGAGAAAAACTTTTCAACAACAGGTAACACAATGACACCACATCTGAGTAAATTGAATATAGCAATTAGAAATCAATTGGTATCTCAAAATCTTCCTATAGTACTGTAAGTAGATACACGTAATAAACTGTAATTAGGCGGTTCTTTTGTTTCTTTTTCCAGTTCTTCCAGGTGCTTCTTCTGCAGACTCTTGCACCCTTTCCCAATTCCGCGAGACCGTCTGCCTGCGCGGTGCCGCGCCGGTCGGCGGGCACGGCGCCCTGGAGCGCAGAGATGGCGGCGCCCAACCAGCTTTCAGCCACCAAATACCTTGAAAAATCCGAAAAAAAAAACAGATGCGTGTCGACCCAAGACGCCAAACATGCAGCAGATTGGGACGTTTTTGGCGGAACTGCTGGCCTGTTTTTTTTTTGGGGGGAAGTCTCCAAGTTGAGGATGACTTGAAGAATTTCTTGGTAAAACTTCTGGGGAATTGATGTGACTTGTGTGAATGCGGATCCCGAAAGTCCTTCTTTCTTGGAGTCTATTGGATTTGCCCATTGGCTCCTCTTGAAACCTTCCGCGGCACATGCGCGAAGCCAACCTTCGCCGGAACAGAACAAAACTGGTGGACTCCAGGACGCGTACCATCTCTCGGGAGATGGCACATCCAAAAATATCAAAACTATCTCTACTGCTCATGAGGGCTCCAAACACAGGTTTGGGGGGTCGAACTATTTTTTGAGATCGGCCCTAGGATGCTCTAGAATCCTAGAATGCCCTAATTAGGTGTAATTTATGCTTCTTTGATCTGACATTCTTAAGCCAAACCCTCATGCCGAGGAGCTCTGCACAAAGGAAACCCATGCACACCTCGAAGCTAAAGCCATCGGCCAGGGTAAAATACCTTGGCTTTCCAGCTTCTCACATGCAACATATGCAACGCCGTGCCATGGTAACCTGCGCGATGGTGACCAGCGAGATGGCTTCAATTATCGCAATATAATCACACAAATACAAAACAATATAAAATTGTAAGAAGATTCAAAACTCTTTCAATTTCTTTCCGTTTTCTCCGGGCTATAGGTTGAAGTGGAAGAAGGCAGTTGGATCGAGACCCGTGGCCTCTACAGCAATGTACTGTAAATACCCGATGCCCAGTACCCCATCACATGGCACATCGGCTCCAGTCTGGCTCACTCAGCATTGAACTGACACAGGCTGCTTGAGGCTTCCTCTGGACCCAAGCCCCGATCAACATGGCCCCAGCGGCCAAAGTGGGGCTGACAAAATACTGGAGGCTGCACAGAACCATGCGGCCGACCGATCGCCAAATCCTGCAGAACGAGGTGCGGAATGGAGGGAACGAACTGGCGAAATCCGGGTGAAACTGTTGAGATTTGACAGATTCAGAATCTGAAGGGAGTCTTCTTGAAAAGCTCGCGGTGCTCACTAATTTGTAGTAAGTTTTGTATATAGACGGTTGATTAAGAACATTAACTACTCAGAATGGTTTCAAGATGTTTCAAGTCTGCAGGCTTGGGTGCCTTTATTGATCAACAGTCTACATCATGATATAGGCCAAAAGCTCCATGTATGGAATGAATATATGCCAACATTGACCCCGTTTCAACCACCCGAATTGAGGCACGTCCCGGGTGCTTCCCTCCCGCCTCGAGACCGCAAGGCATCCGCGGCCAGGCCTGGTTCTGCTTCGCTTGACCACCCGATTCGGGGTCGTAGTAGTGGACCTCTCCTACCATTGGTGCACTATCTAATCTCATAAGCATCCTTTAGGTGGTGACAAATTGACGCTCAGGAAAACATGACAAGCAGCTAACCGGGGGTGTGGTATGAAGGATTTGGACGACTTTGGTCTTCCCTGGGCGCCAAAACGGACCCAACATCGATCCCATCATGGCTTCCAGCTCCAAACGGTCTCCCGGCCTCCACTGATGGAGGAGATGCTGCCCGCAAAGCCTTTGATCAAAGAGTTCACGATGGCGAACCTGGTGAAATCACCATGACCCGGCGCCGGCACGTGCCGCACCCAAGAAAGCGGCGGCCATGGATGGCCATGGTGCACGGCCCAGACCATGCGAAACATGCGAAACGCGAAGCACATCACCGTGCCGATCTCGGCGTCTGGCTGTTCGACATCGTTGGGGAAGGTGGCCCTCACTGAGGAGGGAAGCCACACCAAAATTGCGAAGCCTGAAACGCCATGGCGTGAATCACTTGTAACACACTTCAACAGTGAACAGTCACTTCGACTGCTGACATCCAAATCTTGCAAACGTCCCAATCTTGAGTATTCAAAAGGACTTTGCTGAATTTATTGCACATGACACATGACATGTTGAAAAATGATGAAACACGTGCAAACTACATCCGGCCAACACCGACAAGTCATGATCGATTGCAAACAAGGGCGTGAAATCAAACATGGCAAGCAGGAACATGGAAAACACATTATATCAAGTCTGCTGATTTGGTCGTGACATCAAACCGCTTCTCACAGGAGAATGCCAAGCTCCATGCCCCTCACCTGCGCTGAATCGAAGTGCCGAGGCCAACAAAAGCCATCGTGCCCCGGTAGGTGCCACAGCCTGCGGCAGCAAGCGAGGTTTAGGAGATGGGGGGTCATGAGAGAAACATCAGAAGACCTCCAAGTTTGACCACTGGAGCACCTAACATGTCTTGATCCGTTCTCGCTTCATGTTTGTTGTCAGGCGTGACTATGGTGGCATGATGAGGCATCTGTGAACTTGCATCATCAAGCACCTGTGAACTTGGACCCGTAACACCTGGCAGAGGGGTGGCAAAATTTACATGACGACACATCCGTGGTTCCAAAGGGTTCTTTAAACGATGCTTTGGGGACAAGTGTGCTTGCCATCGATGTTGACGGCATCTATTGAAATTCTTTCGTTCAGCTGGCACCGGCCTCAGTCGAACTTTCCCAAACCGTGGCAGCCGCCTCCCAGCAGCAAAAAGAGGTGAGTTTGTTCCACACGTGAAAAGCGGTGCTATCGTTGCAAAACAATTGGCGCTGCAGCGAAGCACACTCCATGGGATACACACCCAGCATGGGTGGTTGAAAAAAGGTCTCATGTATAATAGGTCGTATACCATACACATGGAGTCCAACACCTGGTGATTCTGGATCAAGAGTCACAAGCAAGCCATGCATGCAGTTTTCAGCAGAACATAATGATCTCAAGTGGATGCACCTCAGTTCTGTCAAGCCACATTGGTTGATCCGTGATGCAGGCATCATATGTTGAATCATGATGGGTTGAACTGACATCGTCCTCATCAGTTTATGTTGCAAAATAACTCTCTGCAGGTCCTTCCAGGTCCATCGAAAATACCTAGACATGCAACATGGACCTGGTCAACATGATCTACATGATCTACATCTGGCTGGTTTGACTAGTCCATGTAATAGGTCATATTTAGTACAGAGAAACCCCTTGAAATTCATCGCCTTCACCACACTTCCCTCCAACCACCCCTGCTTCCGACCTCGGGCAGCGATGCCAACCTTGTCTGCCTCATGTGAAATGGACTGTCGACATGTTCTAACTGGGGTAGACACGACATATTTATTCAACATGGACCAAAACGGCCACCAACTGTTTTGTTTCATTTTATGTCTATGTCTATGACAGCCAAAACAGAAAGATTTCCGATTTATTTATGTAATTAGTGCAAGAGTCCAGGCTTTCGCAGGTGCACGAGCAGCCCAACCTTCCCCGAAACAAATTCCACCAAAAACTCCCCGCCTTTTTAAACGCTTGTCAGTCGGCGGCGACAAACAATAACAAATTAACGAACTCGTGCCTGGGGTATATTTTGGCTGCCCATCAGATCTGACCTTTGACCTCGTTTTTTAGAAAAACCTTCATGCCCGTCCTCATCGCTTCTGCACCCAGGCCGATGCCGAGTGGCAAATCCATGTCGTCAGCTGGCCACGTAGACCTTCGCACCTGACTGGGAGCCAAGTGGTAATTTTTGTGAAGTTTTACTCTCCTACTGTACTTCATGACCCTAAGAGCGACCCCAAGACCTATTCAAGATCCTACAGAACTAATTAATTAGTGTCCTGATGAGGCAAAGGCTTTCAGTCATTTGTTCTTGCCATCATTATAGCTGTAACTTCTGGATCAACACGCTGCAGCTGTAGCAATGCTGACAAACACAGAGGGCAAACAGGCTCTGCAAGCTTGACTGAGGAAAGTGACGTCCGTGCTTGACCGCAAGTGACGGAGAGCACAGGTCCCTCACATGTTGGGATGTCCAAAAAGAGGCCCGATCTTCCAAATCACTATAGTGCTCAAAAATGAGGGAAGGGTAGATATCCTATCCATTGTGCTTTCAGTACAGTAACTATTATATTATATGTATATTATATAATATTTTTTGCGACAACTCGCTCAAAACACACATCGTGGCAGATCCACCGGAGCTTGCTTCTCATCGCGCTTGGTCAATGCTGGCAGCGAGGCGGCAACACCTGAGCGAAAAAAATAACATCTTTCCCGAATCAGAAGGCTCTCATTGTGTCGAGGGATGATCAATGATCGACGCATGGGGGCAACCTGCAATCGACGCAATATATAGAATTGGACCAATGACAATGACCTTATCTAGCCGGCGTATGTGTTGTACTATGCGTTGTTTATTGTATTCTATAACTGGCACTAGAATCACTAGAAATGAATAGACGTGGCTTGTGTTACGTATATTTTATATACCCAAGATAGCGAAGAGCCTTTCTTCAGGTAGAAGAACATTTAATGCATACAATAGACGATAGATTTCAGACCAAGGTTCATAAACAATGATTGGCCCGTCCTACCAACAATCCACTCTGCAAAATGACCCTTCTCCAGAAAGAAGACTCCTCTTCAGATTCTATGGCAGTTTTTGGCAACCTGCTGCCACCTCTTCAGGTGTGGACCTCCTCTCATAGAACATCATAGAACTAGAACTAGACTAGAACTCTTCATTGTAGAATGCTTAGGGTCTTAGCCACATCTCTTTACAATGGGAGAGCTCCATCTATTTTAAACATGTATCAAGATGAAGCAACGCTCCCCCTCGCTGCAAACTATTTGCCAAAGAGCCCAACCAAATGGCTATGCGAGCTTAGGGCCTAGCTGTTTAGAGTGAAAGGACTCACACAAGTCAACTCTTAAATCCGGGTTTGCATACCCAGCTGCTGAAAAAGCCAAAAACTAAACATGCGGCTCTCCATCCCTCCTGACGAAACGTTTGGCACATTAAAGCCAGCACTGGCGAGTCATTTGGCGGTTCGGCTAGTCAATAAGCGATAGTTTTCAAACAAACTCAGGCGTGCACACCCTCTCTCGATCGTGCTCGATCAACAAATGTCCAATGCGGGTGGGATTAAAACCCACCCTCGTCTGTGTGAACAATTGCAATAAACTTTTCTCCTGCTCATCCACGAAAGCGCCCAGGGATGCCAGCGCACCACCCAAGTAAATGCCGAGGCCAAAAATGGAGTTAGCCGTTGCTCGTGCCTCACCACCGAAGACACCAACAAGGGAATGGTATCGTGGGTGTCTAGGAAACCTCAATTTCAACTGGATGAGGAAGAAAAAAATCCAACTGGTTGGAACTTGGAACTGCCCCATATTAAACCAACGATGCTTGTTATGAAGAAATGCTTGAACCACCATGGCCTGCTGCACCTTTGCGACCAAACCATCCGCTCAGGCTTTCCCTGTCGAAATAGCACCAAGACCCACAGTGTCACAACGTCACAACCCCTTTGAACCTCAGTATGGCCCACTTTCCCCAACAAACACTTTGTCATACAATATGCGCTGTGCGTATATATATATATATTATCAACTGTATGATGTAATAATAAAGCATGTAAAATAGTGAAAATTGGATCTTCCAGCTGAGCAAAAACACCCATCACAGCTGGAAGGTCCAGGCATGGAATAAAAATTGTGAACGACGTCTGCTTCTTTTTATCATGACGGTAACATGTTCCATGACCACACAAGGTAGTTTGGTTCGACCAAGGATCATCAGGAAACAGCTCGGCGATCAGTGACAAAGCTGCTGGGTTCGTGGCAGCCTCGAACCGCCCAGGCGTTGAAAGAACCCAGAGGTGAAGCAAAAGCCCCCGACCCGCAGCGTGGAAGCACCGCATTTCTGCATGGCCGTTCTTAGTTGGTGGAGTGATTGGCTAGTGCCTGCTCACGTCTGGGACATTAGCACGCAACGAGCATGAAACACCAACAAAGACCCCTGCTTGAAGGCCTTGGACACACCCCGAAAGAGCGTAATTAGATAGCAGCGTCCACAGGGGGACTATGGGGATCGAGCCTCAGGCCAAATCCTGGGCAATCCTTCAACTGCACGAGAACCTTGATTGTCTGAAAGTCAAAAATCCACTATTGTCATTTGTTTATCTTTGTTTGTCAAATTATGTTTGGTAATTGAATGATTATTCACCGTCATTTTATTGTTAAGTTGTATCCCACTCTTTTGGTAAAGCCAAGGCAACCGTTTCAAACATTGCCACACTCTTTCTCCTCTCTCTCGCTCTCTCTGGGTCTGTGTGCAGTGAAACATCTTCCCTATCTCTCACGCTGACACCGTCGTCTGTGTTGCCCCCGGCCACCGAGACCTACATTGGCGTATAGCCCTCGCTACCCGCAGCACACGCGCACCTGCGACAGGCCTAGAGCCACCCGGAGCAGGAGAAGGCCGCCGTAAGAGCTGGCAACAGCCATGCCGGCGGTTGACAGGGACCTGACTGTCAAGATCTGAGTGGATTGATACGGATAATACTGCAAAACTGAAAGGTCTGATCGGTCTGCGGCCGCTGGTTGCATCTACGATATAGGAAACAACAGAAACATCGTTGGAACATCCAGAGGTTGTAATGGCCTTTCCTCAACTCATAAAGTCAGAGTGTATGTGCACTTGGTTCGAAGGACATAGATAAGGACAGAGTTGACCTACCGAAGGTGAATAGAACGGCACACAAACAAACTACTTGGTGGATCTAGTCTGCACTAGGTAAAAAGCGCTTCCAAAGACTAAGCTAAGCCCAGAGTTTCATGGGACTGGTTCCTTACATGTAATATAATCAGGCAATGTTTGAGTCAACGCCTTGGTGCTTGAGTGAACATCTGGAGAAAAGAAGGCAGTAAGACACCGGTCTACCGGAGTGTTCAACTCTGATCACTTTTGCTCAGCTGACGTATCCACCGGGAGCCTTGAGCCTGTACGCTCCGTTCGCAAAACAAGGAAATTCTCACTGGGCGCGCCCACCATGCCACACCTGCGAAGGCGGTGAGCTGGAAGCGGTCCATGCGATCAGCCATGACCCCTGCCCACAAGGAGGTCAGGGTAAACCTGAGATCGGTCCGGGTCTTCCTTGGGTTGGAACATCATATCAAGGGCAGGGTCGGGAGGTCTCCAAAGACCAAGGACAGAGTACAAACAGGACCTGAACTCGGAGTGGCCCCCAAACCACAGCCCACGCAGGTACAACATCGAACGCATTGCATAGTTCAGAACTGCTACACTTTTTGTGTTGGTGGCTGGGTCTTTGGGGTTCGCATCATGTTCGGATGGATCTGTTGGACGTTTTCCGCAGGCTTCGTGGAAGGCCTCTGGAAGCACGGGAGCTCATCATCGTAGGGGATTCGTCCATAGGCAGGCAGGACATGCTTTACAAGAAATAGCCTGTGCGGTCTTGACAGAATGCAAGTGAGATCTCCAAGATTAAAATGTTCTTCCCCACAGTGAAGCATCCGCAATGATAGCCAGCATGTGGATGCAAAAGCCCAAAAACATAGGCCATCATTGGCAAATCATAGACGTTACTGTAACCGTTAACCCATGAGATCCCACCAGTAACATGAGCATTGCGTACGGCCTTTTCTCGAGCGAAGCGAACACGGCTTCCACCACTGTCTCTGGTCATCCTAGTGGCGGGACGGAAAAACACAAGGTGGCGAAAAAGCCGTAGTCAGCGGAATTGAAGTCTAAGTCCTGCGAGGAAATCGCGCCAGAGGGATGGCGGAAAAGCATTTGGCTATGCAGGAGGGGTGCATGGGGGGTTATCAGCAAGCCACAGTCCTGAGGGTCTCATCGATGGGAAGCGGAGTAAGACTAAAAAAGGCAAAGAATATCTAAAAACATGGCAATGGGGAAATAAGATTCTGAACATTGTGGCAGCTCCAGTTACCTAGAGCAATTGTAGAATTGAAGCCACGCACCAAAGACTTTGACTTTCTCTTGGCAGCTTCGCATGAGGCATGGTGCCCTGCCTGATTCATGGCTTGGCCAGCCTGGCCGAACAAAAGGGACAATAAAAGCCAAGCAGGCGACTCGAGGACAAGCGTACAAAAACACATAGCAAGAAGAGTGGTAGCGAGAAACTGACAACAGCAATGTGGTTTGTCTACCAAGCTTATGATGAAAATCTTTGTAGAAGAGGAATTTGAACGACATATTATGCAGTTCTAGCGAATGATAGCAAATGCTTAAATGCTGCTTTGGGGTACTTGGATCCCAAATGCTCACCGGTTTTCGTGTCGCCAGCCCCACAGCAGTCCAAGGAACCTTCGGACAAACTCCAATGGACCATTGCCTTCGCAGTGGGTGGGATTCCTTCCGGCCTTTCCTTTCAGACCCACTGAAATGCATGGTCGATACAGGGCCTTACCATCACCAAAGTCGACCAAATAGAAGGGCAAGGCTCGGCCTGAAGAAAACGGAAGCCCTACACGGACTGCGCGGGGTTCAGAGGGCGACTCCAGTGGAGACCCTTTACTTTTGAGTGCGGGGGACTTCATTTGTTGCTCAATGGTTGAACTCTTCACTGCTTCACTGACTGGACTGGAAAAATGCTTTTGTCTTGACTCAAAGGCAGCTCATGGAAGATTCTATCATAATTCCAATTTTACAATTTAAACTATACGTTGTGTCTAATTTGATATTATGATTGTTCTATGTTGATTGAAATTCATTAGTAATTTGATATATATCTATTTAGACAATTCACAATTAATTGTTTTACAATTCTATTTTAGTTCGATTTTAATGCCAATATGTTTCTGTCGTGTTTTTTTGATTTATTTCAGCTTCTATAAATTGAACTCTATCGTTTTTTGTTTAAAACAACTATCTTTATTACATTCAACAAGGTTTATATTATATAAAAGCTATCAATTAAAAGGCAACACATCCTTTCAATAATTTACATTGCATTGTTTTATAACCAGATTAGAACGAAATTAGAGCTGATTTATAACAACATTTCCATTTAATTAGAAACACGCCAGAACTAAATTAGAATTGTAAAACAAACAAACTTGGATTGTCTAAGAGTAAAATTAGAATCAAAAAGAAATACACGACAAATACATTGAAACAAAATTGCAATTAGATTTGACTTAAATAAGAACTAAATTTCAATTATGCCGGCATCAGTTTAGGTGAAATTGTACAGGCATTAGTTCAGAATGAATTGCAATATAAATTAGAACTAAAAGATAAATTTGAATCAAAGAATAATTAGATTAAAATTGAATTAGAACTAACTTATTTAACTTAGAGATGAATTAGAATTAACATCGAATTAACATCTAATTCAGGTTAGTTTAAGTTAACATTGACGATTCAATTTTAAGAGTTCAACTCAAACTAAAATTGACTTATAACTTGAATAGGCCCAAATTGGAGTCAAAATAGAATTCAGTTTAGAATTAAATTAGGATTAAGTTAGAATCTATTTGTTTTAGTAAATTCCAAATGGTGTTGGTTTGAACAGAAATAGATTAAAGTCATAAAGCAATTCAATTAGAGTTGAATGCCCTGAACTTGAATTGAACTCGAAATAATGAGAATTACATGTGAAACGAATTGGAATTAAATTTCAACTGAAATAGAATAAGGTTAAAAACTAAATTGAGATTAAAGTAGATTTAAGCTAAAGTTGAATTAGTTCAAAAAGTAAATTATAACTTCATTGTTAAAAGCATAGAATGGAACCATGCCCAAGCCTGTCAATTTGGGGACAAGAAGGCTAGAACTTATTGCCGGAGTCATCAAGTAGAATGCCATTAACCAGGATCAAACCAAAAACTCCGAGAAAAAGAAAACAACAACAATTTTCCAGCACTCTTTTGCAAAGAAGGTGGGGCATTGCAAAGACCTCCTGAGAATTGTGTCTTTTTGTCTTTTGTTTTTTTTGTTTTCTCAAGGTCTTGGCAGTGTTTTGGCTTCTCAAGGCTTTAAGGTTGTTAGTTTTTTTGTTTTCGGGCAGTTTTTCTCATTGCAAATGACATGGAGGCAGCTTTCAGATGCACATGGCATGAAAGCAAGCAACAGTGGAAAGTTTATGTCACACACAAACAAGGAACATTCAGGCAGATTTCCTTCATGCAGAAACCAAGAAAAACTGCACTCTCACAGCCCCCTGCTTTGTTACATTCCCAGGCAATCTGGATGCACCCTGAAAATCTACCAGAATTTGGCATCAATGTGGTGGCCATCAACCACACTTCCAAGCGACCCGGATCAAAATACTCGGAATCATCGAAGCTTTCTCCACACTGGGCTTCCCTACAAGCTTGGTTGGCCACACAGGCCAACAATAAAAGCCCCAAACTCTGCAGCCGTGGCGATCTCCAGGACCAGTCGGAATCGCCGCAGTCCCTGTCCTCTCTTCCCAAGACTTCGTCGCTGGAATGCGCCTTCCTGGAAAGGAATAAGGCTGTCAAGGAAGGAGGCCACACCAGGGTTCCATGATGTTCCATGTTCCATGGACCGGATGGCTCCACCCACGACGTGCCATCGGTACAGATCATACATCCGTCTTTCCAGGCCCACGATGAATGGAATACACCCTGAGGAAGGTTTCATAACCTCAAAACCACCGGCGTTGTACAGGAACATATATTATTATAGTCTTCCAAAGGTAAATTTTTCAGGTTCCGTGTTAATCTTCCCGGGTGTAGGCCTCGGGCTGGCTTCAGGAAAACACATTAAATGATAAGGGCATTAAGGGGTATATAATCTCATCTGGGTACGGCTTTCAGGGGCCCCATTTGGAGGGGCACGCTTCATTGAACTGCTAGCGAGCTTCGCGGGGAAGATGCGATCCAACGGCAGTGACGAAAAATGATAAAACAACTCCAAGTTAGGCTAGTTCTTCCGAATGCGGGATTGAGCCTCCTGTACATAAATCCTTTCAATCCATGCCCCGATTCCTTACGAGTCGCACCAGTCAGAATAACTTCACTGACCTTGGTTTAATCCATTGGGCCATTGCGTCATGTGTTCCGGAGCACAGCCAACCTAGTCACTGGTCCAATCGAGTCCAGCCAGCCAAAGCCAAGAACAATGTTCTTTTCAATTTCCAGGACGATAGCATGTGAATCTAATTGTCTGTATGTAGAATGATACAGATCAGCTATAATTAAAATTTGTCATTATTTTTGAAACAAAGTATAACAACTTTCAACAAATAGGATTCACTTCTTCTGCCAATTTGAAGATAAACAAATCATAGCAAATCCACCCCTTAAGAGACCAGTCCCCCTTTCCTGCGCCGCGTTGGTTCCGCGCCTCACGGCCCAAGCACTTTCGCGCCGTGCCTCGGACCGTCGGAGGATGCACTGCAAACGCTCCGGAAGGATCCAAGCTCGCGTGCTGCCGGGGAATACAACCAAAGCAGCAACGAAACAGGAGGAGGACAGGAGGAGTGTGGTTGTGGGGGTGAGATATGGTGAGATGCATCTGGTGCCAAACCATGTTTCTGAAGCGTGGCGTGGCAACGCCAAATACAGAAGGCTGGAGGACGCTATTTTATGACTCCATCAGAATCCTCGGCCGCTCCATAGCGGGGGTCGGGCCTCCATAACGTGGGATTGGACACTCGAAACACTTTCCAATTGAGGACTCGCTACTCAACTCTTTGCTCGATGTGATCCACCAATGATTGCACAGTGGCCCCTCTGAAACAAAGCCGATTTTCCTCAGCAGCTTGCAAATACACATACAGTATATTTACACCGGAAGGGGCTCTCATTTGGATTGTGCCACCATCCGATCGAAATTGGCTTTCTCCTCCTCCAGCGCATGCAAGCGACTGAGGATGGCCTCAACATCTCCCTCAGCTTGGGGCCCGGCCCCACCAGCTTTGGATAAGGCCTCGATTTGTTTTAAGGCCTGCTCCATCTGTTGAGCCTGTTGTAAGAGAGCCATCATCTTCTCCTCACTTAGGTCCATATCCTCCCTATTGCTGTCATCACCTGTCTCTGCCTCTTCCTCCTCCTCGTCATCGTCCACAGCACCCTCCTCCAGGGCTTTGGGTGTCAAACTATGATTTGATGCGATCTTGAATGAGCCACGATGATCTACACACCTTCATCTCTCTCTCTCTCTATATGTGTATATATATACGTGTGTATAGTCATCTGGTGTGCCAAGAATGCTGTTTCATCCCTTTTTCTTGACAAATGTTCGGTTTCGTTTTCTGTGCTGACACCGTGACCGACCAACCCCCGGGGCCTCCTTCAAGGCACTTATGGCCTCCAAATCAGTGTGGGGCAAAACGCGAGGCACTACATCCGAAAAATAAGAACAAATCACCTTCAGAATCGATGGGAAACAACATGACAGGGGATTGACTACGGTGCGCGATTCTTCAGAGTGAATGCAAAAATTCCCCAAACATTGAATTGAAGTCACTCGAAGCAAAATGCACAAACAATTTCAGGGTGATCTGCCACTCCAAGTATATAGTCTCCATTTACTTCTTATGAGTTCATGATGTTACACATGTAAGGTGCGATTCACTGTTGGTTATTGTTGTGTTCACGCTTCTGAAAGCATGCTTGTGTCATTCTTCACGCTTGTAGGCTTACACCACTTGTTGTGTCGTTCTTCTTGCTCTCCACCCGAACACGGGTGGATGCTCGCTTCATCACCAGGAGTTCTCGTGCGTGAGCAGCAGAACGCCTTTATTGAATAACTCAAAAAACATCAATCCAGGACCAAACGTTCGAGGTCACACTATGCCATGCGGACCACCAGGCTTTCAGGTCATGAGTCCGCCCACATGTCCAATCTGGGGATTCGACGCACCTGCTGCTGTGCCGAGATCACCTTCCGCTGTTGTCCACACATATCTTCCAAAGCCTCCAGCATTTGCATCGCCCCGTCTAGCCTCTCATCCGCTCGCGGAGGGGCAAAGGCTTGCCAGGAGCCCCTAATAGCTTCTTGCTTCTAGTAGTAAGGCCAGGAGCCCCTAGTAGCGTCCTTGCTCCTAGTAGCGATGCCAGGAGCCCCTAAGAGCTTCTTGCTCCTAGTAGTAAGGCCAGGAGCCCCTAGTAGCGTCCTTGCTCCTAGTCCCCCTTCACCCTTGGGCCGCATTTTGTTTTAGCAACATGCAGCCTTGACCCGATGTTTCTCAGGCAACATCTCTCACAAAACCTCGAGAAACTGATCGGCAGTCTCACTCACAACAAGGAAGCTTGTAAAGACCCTACAACAGCACCAGCAAAAAAGCAACTCCCCCAACGGAAGCGAAAAAGGGTCTTCCTGTTGCAACAAACGCCCAAAGCGCCGGTTTGGGGGGACCCCGCTCGACCCATCTAGAGATCCTAGACCGCCCACCGCGAACAGCCTCTTGAGCAATCTCTTCATCTGCTTCTCCCTTCGGTCACTCAAAGTCTCCAGAGTGGCGATGCGCTGCTGCAACTTTTGGCTCTTCGCCCGCAACAAGGAGCACCTCCAGTGCATTCCAGCCACCAACCGTTTGTTGAGCCACCAATCCTAGATAAGATGGACATAGGGTGACTGCTAGTGAATAGTCTGAGTATGTTTTAGCTATTAGTTGGACCATATTCAAAACATGTCAACTCTTTCCAGGCTTCCATATACCTCTACAACTTGAGGGACGGTTTCCACTGCTCAAGTGAGGCGCTCTTCATCAGCTTGCTCGGACAACTCCTCCACTTCGTCCTGCGTGGAGCGGATTACAGAATGGTCTCGCTAGGCTGCCAATTGACAGCAAGCCACCCTGCAATGGGACAAATCAATTGAATCACTCTGTTTGGTTGTTTCAGGTGAAAGCCCTGGGAGTCGTGGGCTTTGATGCATCTGCCCCCCACCCGTCTCAGGCCCTTGACCTGCTCGATTAGTAAATGGTCTAGTATCGACCTACCAAAACATGGTCTTCCGTGATCTTGAAGATATCATATGGTACAAAAGCACAATGTCAAGTTTTGTGCTCGAGCGCCCGACAGGGAACAACAACCTCGAGGGATCTATCGAACAAAATTGCGTCTAGTGTGTATATGTCCTGCATGTTTCAAAGTAAATACATTACATATCTACATCATTCTACATCTATATGTTTGGATCCCACACATGTTTAGCTTTACTTGAGGCAAACCAGTTTGATGTCCTGAAGTTGGTGAGGGCATTCTAATTTGTTGACAAGTAAAGCCAGCTTGGAGTAGTGCGGGGCAATCCCAACGAAACTTCATATTATAGCATGCAGCAGCTTTGAAATGCCCAGACTTCATCACTTGCAGGGACGATCATACACTTGCTACACCTTTGACTGACATTGGACCTTGAGAAAAAACAAACATGCTTCAGGCACACACAAGTTTATGCTTGTTAACCATTTCCAAAACAACAGCAAAAAGCGTAGGGTAGCTGCGGATCGAATTACCAAGTCCAATTTTTGTGGCAGGTGTAGGACCGCCAATTTTCTCACCGTTTTAAACTATATTAATATAAGGCTTCCCGGTGTGAAAAAAAAGATTACCGCCCACACGGCCCCAGGTCTCCCAATGTAGGATTCTAGGGGGTAAGGGTTTACATGAGTTTGTGCTTTGTGCTTCAAGAAGCACAACTTTGGTCTGGCCAGTAACATTGCAACATGATGTTGGGTGAAACACAGTGTGCTCACATGCTTGTGCTAAAAAACAAAGATATAAAGTTAAGTTTACCCCCAAATCTAGGAACCAAATGAATAGTGCGATGGCTTTCAGGTGTCCCAGCTACTAGGAACCTACCTCCCCTTTCACCACACCGCGAGCTGTTTGTTCCCCCATCTCCTTGCTGGGCGACGTGGGCGAAGCGACCGCCTTGGGCGAGGCCTTCGGCACGGAGCGCTCTGTGTGGAGCCGCAAGGCCTTGGCCCAGTCCTGGATGATGGCAGGGCCCATCGCGGCAGTTTCAGAAGGAACTGAATAAGTTCTGTGTTCGATTCAGCGACCAAGAAGTGAAGGGCATGAAAATATAGGTTCATAGGGGAAAGAAACTGCTGTAACCTGTAGACACTGCTATGTCCGGTTCTTTGGAAACATGGATGGTCGCTTGTTCACTGCTCTGACGGGAATTGGAGACCACCAGTTGGAAGATGTTGGAAGCCTCCATTCTGCGAGTTTAGAGGAAACACCCTGACATGAAGCCACGGTATGTTGGAGCAAAATTGGCCATGAACTACAATCACTGCATTTGAAACATGGCCGGTAGGGGTGGTTACCCGGGTTTAGTGCGAAGGGGCTTCACTGGACACCGGCGGGTAAACCCGTTGAACGATTTTCGATACCTCGTGAGGCTTGCATGCGGCCTATGACCATCAAATGGGTTCAATTACACAGGAAGATAGGAACCCTAACACGGATGTGGAAAATGGCCTGGAAGACTTTGTTCCCCTTCAATCAGGAAACTTCGACTTCAATCTTAGTAAGTCAGAGTGTAATGTATGGCACCCTTCTGTCACACGGGCCAAGCCGCGGTCTAGAAATGAACAGTCCACTTGGAACTGAATGCCTTGTCTCAGTGCTCAGTACCAGTTGGATTGACCCAAACATGTGTTCAAACCACCCAGCCAATCATGCAAAACACCCAGTTTCTACATCAGAAACCCTGCTTCCCCGCTCTCTGGATCTGTGGGCGCGGAGCACGATGCCTGGCCTGAACCTCTTCAGCGTCATCCATGTGGAGCTCCATCAGCAAATGCTCCTGACCATTCCTCACCAAGATTGTCGCGCATAGCAGGCAATTCTTTTCAATGCATTTTGCTGATTATATATATACACATACATACATACATAGATACATACATTCATTCATTCATTCATTCATACATTACATACATTACATACATCACATACATACATACATACATACATGGCTCAAGTGGTCCAAGCCTGCAGCCCACCAAGACAGGCTAGTGCGCCAAGCCCCAAGCGCACATAGCACGCAGAACCTCATAGACCTGGTTCTCGATTTCCACAAGTACAACACACTCTTTGCTCGAAATCCCGATTTCCTCGAGCACGCCCTTGTGGACACCTACGGCACCTGGCAGTTTCTCGCCTGGTTTCTTCCCTAGCCTCCCCCAGGTGACTGGACTTTGGCTTTGCCGAGAACACAGGCCTGATCACGAGCGGTGCCACCCAGGTTGCCCACTTGCACATCTACCTCGAGGCTCCCAGGTTCCTCAAAGCATGAATGCTCCAATTGGATTTGGACCGGTCGAATGAAGACCGGCACCAAATGCCGCAGATGTGGCACCTGGTGGCCAAGCCCAACGGCAGGCATAGGCAAAGGCAAAGGCTATGGACGACCAGCCTCCAGGACAGCATCCACTCAATGGTTGGACACACCACCCGGCCTCACGAAGTTCAAACCCCTCAAGAAAACCAGGATGCAACAAGAGGCCACGGACCTGCTCACCACTAGCTGGTCAGTCCTTCCTGAGGAAACCCAGGCAAAACTACAGGCCCTGGGCATGGGACCGAGCAAACCTGAAGAACCTGAGTTGACAGACATCCTGAAGAGCCATATGGATGCACTACCACCTCAGGTCCAACAAATCGTCACCAAGCTCACAGCACCCGAACCTTGCACAGAACGCGAGATTGCCACCAAACTCAAAGGCCAGGTGACAGAGTTGAAAGCCATGTCCATCCGCAAGAATCAGCTGCAGGAGAAAATTGATGGAGTCAAGGCCCAATATGCATCCTTGCTCACAGACATGCAAGACCTTCAAAGCAAACTTGCAGACGGACAAAAGGCATTACATCAGCTCTCGCAAGACTACATGAAGGCCATCAACCAGACTCCAGCGCCCGCTGAACCCAGCGCCCGCTGAACTGGCCACCGGAGCCAGGGAACCTGAACAAATCCCCATGGCAGTCGAATCTTTTGTACACAGCCTGGGCATCTCGCTCACAGAAGAGCAGAAGAACCAGTTGCACGGCCTCCTTAAACGGCCCAACCTGGATCCTGATGATCCCACCAAGCGACGGAAAACAGATGCCAGTGCTGTACCACCACCCGGACATTGTGGGTAACAGGGACAACACTGACATGATGAAGGGGTGGACTTTTCCGTTGCCGGACGATGACGCATGGTCGTGCGATGGAACTGAAGAGTCAAAAAGGGGAAACACGTTCGAAACGAACACCAGTTTTGATGAAGAGCCCATGGAACCTTCAGCGCCAACTCCCACACGGTGCCCGATCCATGCCGGCAATTCAGAGCCAGACACTATGGTCACTTGTGAAGGGGACATTTCACCATCGACCACAGTTTCACAATCTTTCGAGGGCAAGCCATCCACCAAATGGGATTGCCGTGTTATCTCAGGCTCGGAGGAGGAAATGTTTCATTCTGGAGGGCCCAGTGTGGGGGCAAACACACAGGACCGGCAGTTTGAACATTCACTCACAAACAGTGCCAACAAAATTTTTGGGCTTCAACATGTTGCAGGGGAACAGCAACATAACCAATGGTCATACCCACAGCACATGACCTCACTTTTTACTGAGCACCCACAGAGCACACTCGAAGCCACCAATGCGCGGAGGCTGACGCTCACTGGCGGGGCCCCGGATCATCCAAGCTCTACAGCGGCTAGTGACTGGACTCCTACCAGGATGAGCTCACAATACTATGCCTCCACCACGGACCTGCTCCTTCAAAACTTGAGCATGGTGGTGGGAAATCCCAGTGTCCGGTGCTTTGCAAATGCTCCGTGGAGAGCATTTTGCTGGATGTGTGCGTACCTGGCCGAGTTCAACCGGGACCCCTGGGTGTCATCAAAGATGCTGTCCAGACCTGCTTGGAACTCTCAGAACCGGTGGACATCCAAAGACTTGCGGGGCTGCACCACCTATGGCAAAAACATGACCTCAACATGGAGGGAGATGCGGCACATTTTGTCCATTCACTCTGGATTCACTCCCAAACCAGGGTAATGCAGTACCGCCACACGGAGATCAAGGAAGGAGGGTATGTTGCTGAACACATCCAACTGCCCCTCATTGTCGACTATCCAGACGAGTACCTGGATGAGATCACATGGCAAGAACTGATGAACTGCTGGGCCAAGCAAGGGCTGGGCCAGTACCTCGGTGATGACAAGCTTGTCCAAGTCAGCCACATCAACAGGGCGGTCACTATCGAAGGTACAGTCACCAAGCACAAGAGAGCCCTCAATCCACACGGACCATACACGGTCCCCAGATCCCTGGACGGTTTTTCCAGGGCAAGCGCCGAGTACATCCCAATGGCATACATATGCCATCGTGGACCAAAACATGAGACAGGGCACTACTACACCATTTTGGTGTACAAAGACCTCAGATGATGGAGCCACACCCAAGGTCCTGCCCTTTTGACACCACAAATAGCGGGCCAGATCGTGCAAGTCTGGGGCATCCAGACCGCAGCCCTCGTAGCACGGGCATTACCACCTCCGGAAAGCCCGGACTATGACCCACCACTCCACGGCACACCGCCCAAAAAGGCCCGGTTCACACAAGAACACATGAGGTTGAATGTGGGCAACATCACAGCATTTGGGAAGAGCACCCTTGACTGGTACTGGACACGGGACAACGAGATCTATGTGATGGTGGAGACCCATCTGGACCAGCAAAAACACCAGTCGATGTGCCAGTACTTTGAAGTCCGTGGCAGGCATGCTTTTGGATACCCAGCGCAAGCCAACAGCACCAATGACGGCACCCATGGAGGAATCCTCATCATTCATGACACCGCCCATGGCTTGACCAGACTGGAGGATTTCAACATTGCGGGCTGTGGTTACCAAGCCTTTCTTTGGGAAGCTAAAGCTCGGTCCATTTTGGTGGTGGCCGTTTACTTCAAAACCAACGAAACAATCCAAGGCTCCACCAACTCCCAGATCCTGGCACGGATCCTGGCCCTCATCCAAGCCACGAACAGGCAATTCATTCTGGTGGGAGATTGGAACAACCACCCGGAGCACTTCCAAAGCACCGTGCTCAGCTCCAAGTTCCACTGGCAGATCCTCGCACCAGATGCAACCATGCTCAATGGCAACACAGTCGATTATGCCATCATGCATCAAACCCTCACGGCCTGTGCATCCATGACCACAGAGGGGCAGTTCCATGGCGGCCCCACTGCCTGGTCACCTATGCCCTGGAGCTTGAGGATGATTTCAGGTTGTACCACCAGCTCAGGACCTTCCCACCGTTGCCCAACATCCCTGACATCGGTTTCGGGCCTGGAGCACCTATGTCACACAGGTCGAAGACCTCGTTCTGTACGAGAGCCCACCAAATGAAAGTGCTCGATGCTTGGCAGATTGGGTCTCAGTCACCGAGCAGTACCTCCTCCAGCAACACCCGTGGGCTCCGCAGGGACGAGCATCCAACTTGACCACACAACACCAACCTCTGGTCCCATCGAAAGCAGGAGGCATCTGGAAGAAAGGCAAGGCAGCCTACTGGGAACAAATCCAGGCCAGGCTCAACCTCATCCAGAACCAGCCAGCCAAGGCCCCAGGAGCCATCAAAGGGCTCAACATGGCACTACAGCAGGTACAACACCACTGGTTAGGTGACCAGACATGGGCCCAATTCCTCGACACCCAGCGCCACTGGCTCCAATACCGGGATGATCGCACTTTCGAGCTGATGCAGCAAAAAGTCCAACATCAACTTGAAGAAGCACAAAAACAAAGCACAGAAGAATCATGCCTCCAATATGCGGAGTGGATCAAACAAGGGGAGACCAAGGGCCTTAAAGGCCTCTTCATCCCTCAAAGCCAGTGAACTGTCATGGCAGCGACCATACCGTGACATCCCGATGGCTGACCGCATGAGACACAGGATGAATGCCTGGCATGCCCTGTGGAAACCCACCCGGGATGAACAACCCATGACAAGGATGCCCTTGCAAGAAGAGGCCAAGCAACAAGCAGCCCTCCTGCCACCGCTCACTTTCGAGCAACTGGGCAGGACGTTGAAGAAGCCAGATGCCATCACAACCCAGCTGCTGCGCACAGCACCCAAACAGGCCCTACAGCCACTGCTGGGCATACTCCAAGCCATGGAAGCAAAAGCAGAACTCCCCACCCAACTCACCATGAGCCTGGTCGTGATGCTGGCCAAAAATGAGAAGGTTGAGAGACCAATCACCCTAACCAGTGTGCTCTACCGAGTATGGTGCCGAATGAGGAAACCCCTGCTGGATGCCTGGCAGCAAAACCTCCCACCCTCCATGGACTACGACACGTTGGACCTTCAGCAACTCCAACAAACAGCACAAGACCTCCAATACCCGCCACTGGCCTTGGAGTTTGCCATGCAGGTTAACACGGGTCACAAAGCCATCCTGGCTGAAGGCGAACTCAGCCCATGGTTCCATGTCACCGCAGGTGTTGCCGCGGGCTGTCCTCAAGCACCACTACTGGCCAAAACCTTCCTACAGCCCATTCTCACAAGGTTCCAACAGGACCATCCAGACATGCACCTGAATGGCTGGGTTGACGACATTGGTTTCGATGCCAGCGACACAGATGCAGCCCATTTGGCCCAACGCACCATCCAAGCCTGGCACCAGCTGAGGGACAGTCTCACCACAGCCGGACTGGTAGTGAACAATCACAAAACAGCCTTCATCGTCACTGACAAGCACATTCACAGGGAGTTGAACAAACTCCTCGGTCCAC